AACAAAAAATTAGTTTTTTTTATTTAAGTAGACCTTAAATAGATTCTAATTGAAGATTCAGATTGATACAAATTTAATTTTAATTTTTGAAAGAATATGATGATGGAATTAATTACTACCTGGGATATGCATAAATTGTTTAGTCTGGGAACCATGGAATTGGGCAGGTCATTAGATGCAGCAAAGTAGGTGTTTCGAAGGGCAGATATGATTTCAGATTTACTCTTGGAGAGGGCATTTTGTCTGACAGTTTCCATGTTTTCAGCAGATTTGGACTTTTGTAGAGCTGCAGAGTGACTATTGTCACCTAATTAATAGAAAAGAAAAAAATTTAGTATTTTACGTAGAATAAGGTTTATTGTGTTGGTTTTTTTTTTAAAATTATTTATTTATCCTTTGATTCTAAATTATATATGTAGAATATAGAAAAAAAATCTTTTAAAAAATTGTTGGTAAATTATATATGTAGAATTAAAAAAAACTTTATATTTAAAAATTGCAATTTATTTTACAATAAAAAGATAAGCACCTGTTCCCTTCTCATGCTTGACTACGTTTTCTTTCTTCATTATGCTTGTACCCTCAGTAAAAACATTTCGTACATTGGCCGAAATACAGATGTCACAAAACATCATGCCCAATTTTGAATCATATCTTAACCAGTCCCTATTAAATTTCCAACTGACGTTAAATTTACGTTTTGGTGTAGAAGGTTTTGGACTTGGGACTGTTGGCGAAGTTTGAGAAGCTGGGGTTGAATGATCAGACCCCGTATTGGAAGTAAAGCCAAACATGGACAATTTCTGAATTTTAGACTGACTGGAGTCAGAATCTAAAAGTTTGCATTTCCCCATTTTGACAAGCCAAATGCCAAAAAATAATGGGGTATCGAGTAGAATTGGCATGGCGTTTTTATACTGATACGTACTAGACTTCAAAGAAAATCATTAATGTAAATTGCTATGTGCATATCAATAGCTACCGACTTATTGTTTATAAAATATTCGCCGCATCTTCAAAAAGTAAAGACAAACACATCTCAATTAAAATGTTTTTATCAACAAGCTTGGACGTAAATAAACAGCACATCAACATAATCGATGCCTATGCAGTAATCAGGATAATCCGGCAAATTTAATGAGCCACGCTACCAGGGTTTTAGATTTGAACTTGACACTAATTTGAAGACGATAATCATGCTGGGTGAGAATTTGATTGCCAATTAATTGACCACAGCTTCCAATCAATATACAACACTCGGTAATTTTGCCTGGGGTTATTCATGCTATTGTCTATACTAGTTTACCTGTACACAGTGTGTTCATTGAAGCGACGAGAAATTTCCGGTCGCACGTGTCATGACTGTGATAACAGTCTGGCTGAATAAACAAACAGTCTCAGGTAAAAAATAAAAACACAAGACACATTTTACATACATTTTATTGCAAAAAAATATTTTCGCCAATTCTCAATTTTTTTCGCCACCTCTGAAAAAAATTCGCAATTGGCGCAAATGGCGAATTGCAGCTCGAGCGCTGCTGAGGAATAATTCATTATACCCACACTTTCTAAAGAAAGTTCGGGTATATTGTTGTTACTCATGTCTGTCCATCCATCCGTCCGTCTGTCACACTTTTCTTCCCTGAACTTCTTCTACATTTTACACAGTAGCTTAATCATCTTTTGGGAGATGATTGGTGGTGTCATGTAGATGTGCAGTAAAGTTTTGTAATTTTGACTTTGCCCCGGGGGGTCAAATGGGGGTGGAAAAATGACGTTTTTTATGAAAAAATTCCCGTCTTCCCTGAACTCCTTCTACATTTTACTCAGCAGCCTAATCACCTTTTGGGGGATGATTGGTGGTGTCATGTAGATGTGCAGTAAGGTTTCGGAATTTTGATTTTGCCCCAGGGGGTCAAATGGGGGTCAAAAAATGACGTTTTTATGCAAAAAGCCCCATCTTCCCTGAACTCCTCTTACATTTTATTCAGCAGCCTAATCACCTTTTGGGAGATGGTTGGTGGTGTCATGTAGATGTGCAGTTAGGTTTTGGAATTCTGATTTTGCCCCGGGGGGTCAAATGGGGGTCGAAAATTGACATTTTTTATGCAAAAAGCCCCATCTTTCCTGAACTCCTCTTACATTTTACTCAGCAGCCTAATCATCTTTTGGGAGATGGTTGGTGGGGTCATGTAGATGTGCAGTAAGGTTTCGGAATTTTGATTTTGCCCCGGGGGGTCAAATGGGGGTGGAAAAATGATGTTTTTTATGCAAAAAGCCCCGTCTTCCCTGAACTTCTCCTACATTTTACACAGTAGCCTAATCATCTTTTGGGAAATGGTTGGTGGTGTCATGTAGATGTGCAGTAGGGTTTTGTAATTTTGATTTTGACCCGGGGGGTCAAATGGGGGTCGAAAAATGACGTTTTTGTGCAAAAAGTCCTGTTTTTCCTGAAGTCCCACTGTCCTCCTTAATGTTACTCAGAAGCCTAATCATCTTTTAGGAGAGTTAAATATTTTGAAAATTATACAAAACATCAACCTCAAGGGTAAAAAAGCATCGCATGCTGGGACACCTTGAATTCTCATGTGTAATTAACCCATTTCCTACTGCAGCCAAGTATGCAGAGCTTATCAGTAAGACGAGGGATAACACGCCTGCTGCTGTGATGGCTAAGTTAATTAGCACCATATTTACTTTCTGCCTGATAACAAGATAATTTATCCCTCTAGGTATATAAAAGTATACATATTTATAAAGCTCTTAAAATTCTGCATCCAGCAGTATAAATTTTAATATGCAGCAAGAATGCTATCCCATGTTTTATCTTAAAAACAATTGAAAATTTTTGTCATCTTTTTATTCACCTGCATTTTATGTGCATAAAGTGAATGTAAGCAGTATATTTTTTTTTTTGCATCAGTAGTTACATTAATCATTTCTGAACTATTCTGAACTATTTACAGTTTATTTCATTTTATGGCTTTATTTAAGTATCTACGGTACTAATTGGCTTAGAATCATCAAACTTTGTAAGTTGATGCATCTTGGGTTTTCAGAGAATGATGTCCAAAAAGTAGGTCATGGTGACCTACTTTCGACATTTTATGGCTTTATTTAAGTATCTTAGGTATTTATTGGCTTAGAATCATCAAACTTTGTGAGTTGATGCGTCTTAGGTTTTCGGAGAGTGACCACCAAAAAATAGGTCACGGTGACCTACTTTTAACATTTTATGGCTTTATTTTATGTATCTTTGGTATTTATTGGCTTAAAATCATCAAACTTTGTAAGTTGATGCATCTTGGGTTTTTGGAGAATGATATCCAAAAAGTAGGTCATGGTGACCTATTTTTTGACCTTTTATGACTTTATTTAAGTCTATGGTACTAACTGGTTTAATTTTGTTTGTTGATGCATCTTTGGTTTTTAGAGAATGTCGACAAAAAAGTATGTCATGATGACCTACTATTGAATATCTCAAGGACGTATTGGCTTAGAATCATCAAACTTTGTCAGTTGATGTATCTTGGGTTTTCAAAGAATGTAGACAAAAAAGTAGGTCATGGTGACCTACTTTTAAATATCTCAAATACTAATTGGCTTAGAATCTTCAATCTTTGTTTATTAATGCACCTTGAGTCCTCAGAAAACTTCAATCTTAATATAGGTCACTGTGATGTACTTATGGTTTTTTATGGCTTTATTATTAAAAAATTCAGTCCTAATTGACTAAGAATCATCAAACTTTGTCAGTTGATGCAACTTGGGTCTTAGGATACTTAGGGTTAAAGGCTTCAAATAGAAGTGATAGATTGTACAATTTATCAGAAGAGCGATTCAAGGCCCTTGGGCCTCTTGTTTTATTAGACTGTAGCATTTCCATAATTTCATAAAATATGCAATAAACAATTTAAAGCTGCAAATGGATATTTGTTAAGCTCTAATACAGCCAGTTTAGAAAATTTTATATGATGTATTGTTTGTTATAAATAATCCCTACACTGTAAGTCTCTTAGAGATGTATGTACAGTATTTTAAACATGATAAGAAATGGAAATTAGATCATTGAAATCTTTGTCAATCTGTTAATCAAGGATACTTATTTTCTTGCACCCCAACGAATTTATGATTATTGAACAATATTTGACGGGCGTATCATGCTGTGGCGTGGCACTTTATTAATATATTTAATGTTCAACCAATAATTTACCTTATAATAAAAATGATGTACAAATAATAACAAATACAGGCTTAGAAATATACGATTTATTTTCTTCTTTAAAAAAATCGAGGTGCCGAAACGTCAATTAAAGGGCCAAAATGTCGCGGTGCCGAAACGTCGTTGCAATGAAGTGCTGAACCGTCGTGGTGCCGAAACATCTTGCATCTTTCTGTGGCAAGCAACTGCTGTCGAAATTCTACTTATACCCCCTGCTTGAAAAGTGGGAGGGTGTACTGTAATCGCGATGTCTGTTAGTCCATCCGTCTGTAACGCTTTGAGGTACCCATCTTTTATGCACAACTCCTGTCATACCACTGAATAAAATTAGATGAGACTTTCAAAGAATCTTGATTACATATTGCCGTTGTCCATCTCCTATTTTACTTTTTGATCTGACACTTTTGGGTTTCTCATAACAAAACCTGGACATTGCCATTATATTCATATGGGAGGCAGGGGGTATTTTTTAGTGAGCTCATTGCTCACAGTACCTCTAGTTTGTTCTGCAGAGAAACATAAGATCATATATCATGTCATCAAGCATTGATTAGAGAAAAAATTACGTAATGTTTAATAGATAAAAGGTCACCAAGGTTTTTTTTCAATCAAAATTAAGAAGTTTCGATTTTAAAAATTCACAAGGTCAAAGGAGTTCTTAAATAGATTCTTAAAATAAATGTTTATGTGTTCAACTTTTTATTGTTACATTAAATATGATCAGAGCATTGCCCTGTTCTATAGAGCAACGAAACTGATTTCTTTGTCATATTTGCAGAAGGAGAGGAGCGATTTTGAACCCCATTCAAATATTCAGAACGATACTGAAAAATTACAGAACTATTGTTCAGATGAAGATCAAACTGGAAGTTTAGAAAGACACATCAACACAGATGTAAGTAAAAAGCCTCAGATATGTATCTATTGATTATATAGTGAAAATGGATTATTTCTTCGAAAATCTTCTCTGCTCTTGGGTATTAAGTAAACTAAGTACATAGTAATGTTGAGCAAGAGTGCCTCTGCCAAAAATTTTAATTTTATGGCCACAGGGTCAGGGGTTCTGGTGTGAGGGCGGGGCTCTATTGATCATATGGTGAAAAGGAATTTATTCTTTGAAAATCCTCTTCTCTGCTTCTGGGTATTAAATAAACTAAATAAGCACATGGTTATGATAAGAAGGAGTGCCTCTTCCAAAATTTTGAATTTATATATTTATTTATATTTTTATGATGAAAAAAGGTGCATCTAGCAAAATGGTTATTTTTTATTGAAAGTGCATTTTCCCTTTGTTACTCTGATCTACCTCTGGGTATTAAGTAAATAGAGTAAGCATGCTAAGTTTATAATTATGATAAGCAATGGTCCCTCTTTCAAAACTGTGAATTGTGAAATTCATGGCCTCTGGGGTAAAACACCAACCAATTTTAATTGTTTGAAAGTTGTTACACGATACTCAGGTGACCTATAAGGCCCATGGGCCTCTTGTTTTCTACTTTTTTTATCATTATTTTCAAAATTAAGATTTTGTTTTAAGGTGGGATTCTTCTCTGGTTTCTGACTAGATGGAACATTCAAAGTACATTTGTTGATATGTCTTATATATTTAGATGTAGGAGATTTAAAAGACCGTATTTTTCTTTCCTCATCACAATTACACAACTTTAGATAGAAATGGTAAACTGCGTTTGAAAACTTGCAGGGACTATATTTTTGGCGGAATGGTGGTGTATGAAAATATCTTCTTGTCCGCCTCTAAAAATTATCATAGAACATTGAATTAAGTTATGATTTTTATGCAATCAAAGACAAGATGAAATTTTCAAATGTAAGTTAAATTAATAATAAGGGACTAAAGTTTCAAAATATATCAAATAAATAAGATTTTTTACCACATACTAGAACTATGTTGGCTTTTAAATGCTTCAAATCTAAGTACAGATTTGATTCAAAAAAAGTAAAAAGTGTTTTTTCCCTCTTAGTAAACAATCAAAACTTTTAGTTTTTGTATCATTTTGTGCCTTTATGTGACAACTTTACTATATGTGAAAATTGGAAAAAGTTAAACATAGGAAGCATATAAAAATAACTAATAAATCCTAAAACTTTACGAAAAGTAGAGGAAATTCGGATTAGCAAATATCCATTTTATTTAAATTATCCATGTCAATTTGGTAATATCATCTTATAGGCCATATATGGTAGTATCTTTTTATACAAAAAGAAAAACATTCAATATGTTGAATTACAAGTACCGTAATTTTGGGATTATAGGTCGATGGGGTATATAGGTCGAAAGGCTCTTTTTCAGCCTTAATTTTTGAAAAATCCTAAGATAGGGCGAACTTACTATATAGGACGAGGTTCTCTTTCCCGTTTTCTAAAGATTCTTACGCAGATACAACGTTTCAGAACAGGTAAAACTATAAAATTACCGGGGATATTCCGTGACATGAACGTATCAAGAAAATAAACAGGTATTTTAATGAGTACAGCATTTAAATAAAGTTTTTTTTTTAGCTCACCTGAGCCGAAGGCTCAAGTGAGCTTTTCTGATCACATTTTGTCTGTAGTCCATCCGTCTGTCTGTAAATTTTTCACATTTTCAACTTCTTTTCAAGAACTACTGGACCAATTGTAACCAAACTTGGTACAAAGCATTCTTGGGTGATGGGGAGTTCAAATTGTTAAAATGAAGGGACATATCCCCACGCAAGGGGAGATAATTAAGAAAAGACAAAAATAGGGTTGGGTCATTAAAAAATCTTCTTCTCAAGAACCACATGGCCAGTAAAGCTGAAACTTATGTGAAAGCATCCCGGGGTAGTGTAGATTCTAAATTGTTCAAATCATGAACCCCGGGGATAGGGCGGGGCCACAATGGGGAATCAAAGTTTTACATAGAAATATAAAGGAAAAATCTTTGAAAATCTTCTTCTCAAGAACCACTGGGCCAGAAAAGCTGAATCTTATGTGGAAGCATCCTGGGGTAGTGTAGATTCTAAATTGTTCAAATCATGACCCCCAGGGGTAGGGCGGAGCCACAATGTGGAATCAATGTTTTACATAGAAATATATAGAAAAAATCTGAAAATCAAAGCTGAAACTTACATGGAAGCATACTGGGGTAGTGTAAATTTCAAATTGTTTAAATTATGATCAGTGGGGTAGGTTGGGGTCAAAGCTTCTCAGGTGAGCGATGTGGCCCATGGGCCTCTTGTTTAAAATGTAGTTAGAACTTCTTTGAATTGTGTTACTACTTATTTCTCTCAAACTTGCGTGTTCAATCAATCAATGCCTCCGTAGTTTCACACTGCTGTTAAATCAGAGGCATAAATAACACGTAAATACGTTTTTTTTTTTAAACAACTATAATTCGGGAAATACCCGAGACTTAAGAAAAGCAATTTTGATTTCAGAATAACTTGGACACATTCCTAATAAATTTTATTCAGACAGTATTTACCGGTGGACGACAATTACTTCGATGTCCGCCATTGTTATTTTTCTACTCCAGGGATCGGCTAAATGACGCAAATGACCATTGAATGTATATATCAAGCAACAGTAAAGAATTGAAATCATATTAACACTCTATAAGTTTAATTTATAAATTTAATTGAGAGTACATTCACAATTTGACTGTCAACATGAATTTCACGGCTTTGTTTGTTCAATGAAGTGTAACACTAATACCCTATAATGGCACGTGGGTTTCTTAATCATGCCCCGTTGTTTAACATCTTTGTGTACACAGTGTAAATCCCTTTATCTGTCAGACAATTAAAATTCTGTTAGAAGCCAATCTTTGTATACCAGTAGTTCAATGTACTTCTTGCGTACGAAGCTTTTAATAATGGCAACAAATTATTTCACTCATTTTACATTTAAATAAACATAAGGCAATAAAAAATATTTTATATTCTATTTCAATTTATCGCTACTAATAAATGGTAAAAACACTATAGTTGTGATCGTGAAAATTTTCCGTATTTTCAATTTTGAAATGTAGAAGGCCCCGGGGAAGAATAGTACTTTGTACTAATCGGGTTACCTTCTTTAAATAAAGCATTATTATTATTATTATTATTATTATTATTTTGATACAGTTGTGGTTTTACTTTTAGTACACGATCGCGACTTCCTAGCTTCACAAGATGGATACCGCATGATGTTAATAGATAATACGTTGAGGAGTTATTTAATAGGTGAAGCAATGTTGTCTTTCTTTCTCATCAATGGATAATTAATGGAATTTATTTTGTAAGAAAGTTTTAGAATAAATATGTTATTGTTTACCGGGGCATTAATTTTTTTTGTGAAAAATAATCAAAAAAGTTATGAAAGGGGCACAGATTTGCTTTGAAATTGACGTAAATTTTACTGATTTTGGGGCATTTTTCGTAAACTTGAGCCTTAAATAGGTCGAATTCTGAATATTGGTTGACCGCAACGGTTCCAAGAAAAAAAGTATCGACCTGTATTCCGTAAATTACAGTAAGGATCGCATAACTGGAAACAGTAGTTTTTTTATTCTTAATGTCCAGGAAAAAAGTAATGACCTTGACCCGACCTTGCCTCTAATATTCAACGGTCAAATTTAATCTCACTAATACCATCACTTAGTGATATTGTCCTCTTGATTCTGTGAAAATTTCATTAATTTTTAAATACAAGAAATGTGAGAAGAATCCTTCCTTAAGCAATATATTTAGAATAAAATTAATTTAATTGTTTTGAAAGTATATTAAAAAAAACATTTTGAACATGTATTACATGCATTCACCTGTATAGTGGAAAAAAGAGAAAGAAAACAGAAAAAAAGGAAAGTAAAATTTTGTTTGAAATGGGACTCATTTATTTCATCAAAAAACGTAGCTTGACATAGTACTTAAAACAATTTTTGCTTAATTTACAGAGGGAAAAAGAAGTCTGGTCATCCAATTCAAAGATTCAAACTGAGGCTGCAGACAAACCTTATAAATGTGATATGTGTGAAAAGGCATTCAACTGGCCAGGAAAACTACAGATGCACATGAGAACACATACTGGTGAAAAACCTTATAAATGTGATGTTTGCGGGAAGGCATATAAACAGACAAATCACCTACAGGATCACATGAGGACACATACAGGTGATAAACCTTATATATGTGACATGTGTGGGAAATCATTCAACAGATTAAATAGTTTACAGAGGCACATGAAGACACATACAGGTGATAAACCTTATAAATGTGATGTGTGTGGGAAGGCATTCAGCCAATCATGTCACTTACAGGCACACATGAGGACACATACTGGTGATAAACCTTATAAATGTGATGTGTGTGGGAAAGCATTCAGTCAGTCACAACACTTACAGAAACACATGAGGACACATACTGGTGATAAACTTTATAAATGTGATGTGTGTGGGAAAGCATTCAGTCAGTCACAACACTTACAGAAACACATGAGGACACATACTGGTGATAAACCTTATAAATGTGATGTGTGTGGGAAAGCATTCAGTCAGTCACACCACTTACAGAAACACATGAGGACACATACAGGTGATCAACCTTATAAATGTAATGTGTGTGGAAAGGCATTCAAACGGACAAGTGACTTACAGACACACATGAGGACACATACTGGTGATAAACCTTATAAATGTGATGTGTGTGGGAAAGCATTTAGTTTCTCACAGAACTTACAGAGTCAAATGAGGATACATACTGGTGATAAGCCTTATAAATGTGATGTGTGTGTGGGAAGTCATTCATCCTATCGCAGAACTTACAGACTCATATGAGGACAATCTGTATACGAGGGTCATTCAAAAAGTTCTTAGACTTTTGTCTTAACTTTTTTATTTAACATCATATTATATCCAAATTTAATACAAATATTTTAACAACAGATTCAAATAATTTGAGTAAAAAAAATTAGAATGTATCCTCATATTTATGAAAATTACCAAGGATTTATAACAGCAAAAATGGGGTCACGGAGCACCGTCAAAATTGAGTAATTTTCTTATTTTCACTTCATAGTATTTACAGCTATACCTCTAATAAATGGAGCTGAAACGAAATAAAATATAAATTTTTAAATAAAGTATTACTGCATTAATTAAAATGAAATCAGGTTATGTAATATCTCGTTCCATTTAAAAGATATCAGCTTCTAAATACATATGGACTTGATTAAAAAAGGCAAAAAAACCTTGACGTTGGAGGACGTCACGGAGCAGCAAGTAGCTTTAATATTAGACTTTACATTCGGGAAACTTTCTACAAGCTTATTAAATCCTTATAAATCAGGATCTGTATGAACAAAAAATTTGTGTATTGAATAAGTTGAAAATACCATGTTTGAGTGGTAGCGAGTTTGAATTGGACGATGGATTGTCTGCAAAGAAACAGGTTAAAGTTAAAATTATTGTCAAAAGAGTTAAGAACGTCATTGAACGTGGTGTGTGCTTCAAAGCTGCATGGTAAATCAAAGAATTTGAAAACAATAACATTCTAATTCAAGCTATATTTGTACAATTGTTAGCAAACCAGGTGTTAAGTATTGTGGATATGTGTTTTGAATGGAGAAGACGCAACAAACCGTGTTTGAAATAACAAAATGTGTATACTTTTGACAATTTTTCTCAGCGTTGTTTTTGACGTTACAATATTGGTTAACCGTGCAACGTGGTAACAAAACATGTTGCTTTTAATTTTGGCTGACGTGAGTTCTGTTTAATCAGATGGAATGAAACTTCACACTTCGACAAAATGAATGTTTATGTTTACGAAAATGTGTTGATCTATAATCTTGTAATAATCATATGACGATGAGAAGCATTGACTACATATTTTTTGAATCTACCTCGTAAATGTGATGTGTATAGGGAGGCATTCATCCAATTACAGAACTGAAACGTAGCTTGACATAGTACTTAAAACAATTTTTGCTTAATTTAAAAAGGGAAAAAGAAGTCTGGTCATCCAATTCAAAGATTCAAAGTGAGGCTGAAAAGTCAACCAACTATAAGACTAATGAGCATCAGACAATGGATTTAGAAAGAAACATCATTAGACATGCAGGGTTCTCCATCATTTGAAATCTTACTGTGTTGCAGAGTTTACGCGAAAAACTAAACTTTTGCGGTATTTTCGCGATCAAATTCGCAACTGAATCACTTATTAATATAAGTACAAAAGAATACTTGCACACACTTATTTAAAATTCGTTTATTCGTTATACAAATGATATGGTCGTACATATTGATAAAAGTAAAATCACGTTCTGAATGCAGAGGAAATTCTGACCGATACAGTCGATTACTTAACATTTTTGATAGGAGATTGGCCGTGATTATTTATCAGTTTTCTTTATCAAGTTACCGCATTTAAAAAAAGAAACTTTAGAACAGTAAAAAAAATTTTAAAAGTTCCTTGAACATGTTGAAAATTTTCAGCAGTTTATTTACATCAATTAAATGACTTTCGTACGATGTTATGTTTGACTTACAGGGCTAACATAATTCTAGCTCTATAAAAAAGACATATTTAAATAGTTTTTAAAAATAATACGATGTATTTTATTGCAACTTCCAATTAACCGTAACATGGAAGTGTGAAAACAAATTAGGGCCTATTTGTTAGTGTTTCTTCATGCGTAAAGTCCGCCGAGTGTCTAGGAGATAATTGATTATGCAAGGTGAAGCCCTAGTAATTAACATAATTAAGTACCCTAATTTTCAGAATTGAAAGACGGTAAAATTGTTTTGTTAAAGCTTCAGTTCGAGAGAATTTGTGTGTTTAGATTTTCTAATTATCACAGATCTTACTGTGTCGGCAAAACTGTGTGGCATGCATAAAATTTGAAGATATGTAAAGTAAGCTACTAGTAACTGGCTACTAGTAGCTGATTACGACAAGTGGGTAAAGTTGGCTACTAGTAGCTGGCTACGAGAAGTAAGTGAAGTTAGCTACTAGTAACTGGCTACTAGTAGCTGGCTACGAGAAGTAAGTAAAATTGGCTACTAGTAACTGGCTACTAGTAGCTGGCTACAAGTAAGTAAAGTTGGCTACTAGTAACTGGCTACTAGTAAATGACTTGAACCTTTTTGTACCTTTTGTGTAAAATTATGCAAACTTGGGATACAAATGTTGATATTCTTGAAGTAGCTGGATTTTGACACCCCTGATATCCACTGCTATTGTTGATAAAAACAATATCTGAGCTTTTCCACTTGATCTGACATTAAAGTTACCAAGGAATCGTTATTAATAAACTCAGCTAATAGTACCTTTGGTTTAAAATTGTGCTATTTTGGGAGACAAATCTTAATATTCTGGAAGTAGCATGATTTTTACATCACTGATATCAACTGATATTGCTGATTCTGAGCATTTCCACATGTTCTTGCACTAAAGTTACCAAGATATCGTAAGTAATAAATTCAGCTACTATTACCTTTCGTTTAAAATTATGCTATTTTGGAAGACAAATGTTAATATATTTGAAGTAGCTGGATTTTTACATTACTGATATCCACTGATATTGTTGATAAAAACAATCTCTAAGAATTTCCACATGTACTGGCACTTAAGTTACCAAGATATCGTTAGTAATAAACCCAACTACTAGTACCTTTTGCTTAAAATTCTGCTATATTAGGAGACAAATGTTGATATTCTTGAAGTAACATGATTTTTATACCGCTGATATCAACTAATATTACTGATAAAAACAATTTCTGAGCTTTTCCACATGATCTGGCACTAAAGTGACCAAGATATCGTTAGTAATAAACTCAGCTACTATATAGTACCTTTCGTTTAAAATTATGCTATTTTGGGAGACAAATCTTGATATTCTTGAAGTAGCAGGATTTTTACATCACTGATATACACTGATATTGTTGATAAAAACTATCTCTGAGCTTTTCCACATGATCTCCCAGATAGCAGGATGTTATTGGACCTTTGTTGGCCAACAACGCTCCTTATGTTGGGCCACTGTTTGAATTCAACATTGGGCCATCGGTAATTTGCTTATCGGCCCTTAATCAAACCAACTTGTTGGCTTATTGTTGGGCCAATGTAACAGTTAATATTGGGCCACTGTTGGGCCAATGTATTATTTTAATATTGGGCAAACGTCATTTTTGTGCAATTGGGCCATTGTAAGCAACTAATGTTGGGCCAACGGTAATTTGCTCATCGGCCCTTAATCAAACCAACTTATTGGCTTATTGTTGGGCCTATGTAACAGTTAATATTGGGCCACTGTTGGGCCAATTTATTTTTTCAATGTTGGGCAAACGTTATTTTTGTACAGTTGGGCCATTGTAAGGAATTAATGTTGGGCCATCGGTATTTTGCTCCTCGGCCCTTAATCAGACCAACTTGTTGGCTTATTGTTGGACCAACGAACAGATATCATTGAGCCATTGTTGGGCCACTTATTCTTTCAATATTAGGAAAACATCATTTTTGGGCCAACGTTGGTTTGTATCTTATTGGCTCTCCATCATTACGACTCAATTGCTCTTCACTGGTTGGCCATTTGTCCTCAAAATTGACAAACAAATATATACAATAAGGTTATACTAGTTTTGCAGTACAGTTTAATGGTAAAAGCCCTTTAATAATATCTATATATGCTATATATGCTAGATTAATTAGTTTAATACATATTCTCAATATTCTCATAGAATTGACATCAACAAGTATTGCATTGTTAGAAGCTAGCTCTACATTAATTAAAAACCTGAGGAAAAAGAAATCAAAATATAAAATTAAATTATAACATACTATAATTTTATTGCTCTGTGCATGAAGAAAACATTAATAAAGAATTAAAAGTTGATGCTCACTTCAAGCGATACATGTAGGGTTACATGACTGTATACTCCCTCTCTAATGTTAATTATGCACAAGTTCAGTAAATTACAGGTATCAATAAGCACGTCTAACAAATAAACAAAGCCCTCCTGTTCTTAAAATAATACTAAAATGAATCCCGTCATCTTGTTTACTTACACAAAAAATGTTTCTGGCATCTGCATCGTGTTTATAACAGACAAACAGACACAAAAAAGGGTAGAACTACAGGTATGTCACACTATATCACAGAAAAAGGTTAGGCATTAAATTGCCACTTTCCATCTGATCCCTCTCCTGTCTCCATTTCCTCTTCCCGAGTCTCCTCCTCCCCCTTCTTTTCTTCTATGTCCGTTTCTTCCTCCCTCATCCCTGTCCTTGGCATACCTTAGCCATTCTTTGATTGTGTTCTCCATGTCTTTTTAGAATCTCCAGGAGCACTAAAATTGTAGTATTTGGTACTTAATACATTTGTTACCTTTCTCAGTAAAGAGTAAACATACGATTAAATTACAAGTATATCACTATATGTTTAAGCTGTCAATTAAGGAATAACCGTCTTTTTTGTTTCATGGTGTGATTAAGTGATTAGCTTGCGTGATGAAGGCATTTATGCATAATTTATACGATTGATAATCATCATCAAAACAATTTTGATTCAATGTTGCCCCATATATAAAATACATGTATTAAAAATTTGTCGTTACACTGAACAAATTTTAATTGAAAGAACCCAATTTATTTTTAGTACTGAATAAATTTTGTTTTAACTTCAGCAAATTCAACATTTTCAAAATGTTTGATCATGTTCTCGACGTTAAGTGTGTATAAGTAAATTAAGTGGTAGACTTCGGAAATGTATTCTACTAGACACAAATTTCAATTTAAATAAGGAGCAAATTATTAATTATTTTAACTGTATCAAAACACATTTTTATTCTTTCATTTATTTTTCTTGTATATAAACAAAAAATTTAATCAATGATAATTTATTTTGTTTCGATAAATTATAAGAATTTTAAATTCATTTTAGCTAGCTTGATTTTTAGTAGGATTGGTTGTAGATTTATTTCTGATTGTAGAGACGATCAGATTTGTTAATATTCAGATTTGTAACAATTAATTGTTTATACACATTGGCCCAATGTTGGTTCGATATATTGGGCCAACATTGGGCCAAGGAGCAAAATGACACTGGGCCAACGGCATTTGCCAACATCGGCCCAATATTCTTGTTGACGTTTCGCCAACAATGTCGCATTCATTGGGACAATGTTGGCGCGACGTTGGGCCTATATCTGTAGAAATAACACTCTACATTGGGCCAACATATCGGGCCAACATATTGGGCCAACATTGGGTCGATGAGCAAACTTAAATTGGGTCAATGCCATTTGCCAACATTGCCCCGATGTAACTGATTACATTGGCCTAACGTTGGCCCAATGTTAACATGCTATCTAACATGCTATGTACAGTGTTGACCCAACAACACCTGACCTCTGCACTTCCCCGTGTCTGATTTACACAGATTTGTACATAATATCGTTTAAAAACTAAACGTTAATTCAGCTGTGTCGAGGCAAACATATTATTAATACTT